GCTCTGCAACCCATTAGAACTTAGTTCCAGTACTTCTTAATTATTTGACATAAATTGAACTTTTAATTGGAGCACACCAAAGCCCTAAGTAAGAGGGCTCCTGCACTTTGCTTAACCACTATTTCAGCAGAGAATACTTTTGATAAGATTTTTTTTTTTTTTTTTTTAAATAATAAGTAAGACTTAAAATTCAATTCTAACTTCTGAATGCTTTCCTGTCTTTCCCTGGAAAACAGATCCTTGGACAGGATTTGACTCAGTCTGAAGGTGTGCCCATGACCATCTTAGCCAAATCAATGTAAGTAGTCAAAATCAATGTTAGTAATGTCAAAAGTAATGAAACTACCCAGTGCAAGATCCTCATACATATTAAAAGGGCTGTGGAGTTGGTAGGGAAAATGACTGACTCCAACTCCTGGAATTTTAATGACTCCGACTCCCTCACACACACACACATACATATATATGTAAACATATATATATATATATATGTGTGTGTGTAAACATATACACATGGGTTTATCATTAATTTAATAATTTAACTGAGTTTATCTAAGTCTTTATTTATCTCTTTACAGTTAACTGAATTTTAATTATCTAATTAATTTATCATTTCGAATATTAACTAACTGATTACATTATTAGTTATTTAATTTACTTTTGTTCCTCTTTGTTAATGATTTTCCATAGAGCTACAGAACATTAGACATTAAGCACTGATCCAGAAATAGTTCCTCTTCATAATAAAAATTAATGATTTGCAAATAGATAGCTTCAAAGTTAATAGTTCTCCATCAAACTGTATGGTAACCATTTGCTAATTTCACACTTTCTCCAAGTTGGCACAAATGCCAATACACTGCTCGACAAAATTAGGAAAGCATGTGATTTAGTGGGAATAGAGAGCTGGTAAAATGCAGCAAAATATATAAAAATACTTTTGAAAGAGACAAGAAAATAAAAAAAACTGAATAAGTAAAAATCATATTTAATGTGAATCAAGTTATACAGTCAAAAGTCGTTAATTCGGACACCCATAATTCGGACCTCAAAGCTACAAACTTTCTGCGCATGCGTCGCGTAAGACTTTTATGGCTGCGCATATGCATGTGTGCATGCGCATAATACATTAACGCATGCGCGTTTAATATATAATGGACAGTATAAGCTAAAATTATCTAATTATCTATTTCAGTTAATGTTGTAAATTGCGTTGTTCCTTAATCTTCGAAGCGGATCCGGCTTATTATTTTTTGCAGACAGTTAGAGCAATTTTATAAAAGTAAGCTTGAACTTTCGATTATGTCATAGAATTTCTGATCCTGGAGCTCCCAAAGGATCTACAAAGCGAAAGTATGTTTCGACGACCATCAAACAAAAAGTGGAATTGCTGCAAAAAATTGGATAAAGGCATATCCTTTGTTTCTCTAACCATTCTGAAATCTGTTTATCAATTTTACGCTGCTCTGGGGGGGGAGGAACGCTGCGGCGCGCAATGAATTGGAAGTTGATCTGTCAGCACTATCCTTATCTTCAGGGCAGATGTTTCTATTTTATTTGGCTTATAATTCCTTATTAACTGTAGTATTTCATCTCGATGTACTTCGTCTTTGATATGATTTAAATGAAATTTCCTCGTCATTATAATTCGCTTCCGATAGTGAAGAAAGTGACACAGAGGTTATTGAAAACGAAAAAATTTTGATTGACAAATTAGTCGGTATTCTCGACACAGCAATTATAGGACTTGAACAGCGGAACTTTGTAACTGAACAAGAAATTATGTCTGTTTATAGAATGAAAGAGAAAGTATTATCACATAAAACGAAGCAACTTAAACAACTTACATTGAAAGAAATGTTTAATAAAGTAAACAAATAAATATTAAGCTTTTTTTTTTTTTTTTTTGTAAATTTTGATACCCTTTAGATCATAACTGTTCTTTATTTCATAAATTTCAGTTTCATATTTTTAATTTTATAATTTCTGCATGCCATCTTACCAGATTTAAACAGTGATGATCTATAATCTGGAATCGCCGAAGTCCCGACGAGTCCGGATTAACAACTTTTCACTGTACAAGAAATCACCTGTTATTACAAGAAATTAGCTGGGGCCATAAAAAATCCTCATTACCCATAGCTTTTACAGAGAAAAAAATAGACACTTATGAACTTTGTCAATTGTCTAAGGTGTGGAGCCACCTTGAATAGCTTTACATCTGCGACATAACGAATGAACCATGCGAATTAGCCATAAAGAGGAATGCATGCCGGTATTACATAATCTGGGCACATTTTTCATGTTAAATACCTTGAATGTAAATATATTGATGGTTTGCAAAAACTAACATGCAGTAAAAGTAAGTAATATAAATGCAATTTAATTAAAGTAAGTTTTACTTAAGAGTTGAATTTTCACAATTTGTACAAATTGAAGACATGCTTAAAACATACGTGTATGTCACATAAAGGCATAGCGTTTCTGACTGCCTTGCTGAAGAGCCCAGGTTCAAATCCCACAGAAGGCATGGATGTTTGTATATGTATAATGTCAGTGCGGCATGGCAGCACTCTAAATATGCAGCGAGCCGAAGTCCTCTCGTGTGGTTTGGTGGAAGGGAAGAGGGGTGAGTGACCCTCGAACCCATCCCCCCCCTGGGGTGCTCTCCATCAAAATTGGGCACAGGGGTAGAGTAGACTTTAAGGTACCCCTTGTATTATGGCGAAGTTGTTGTTTAATTTATCGCCAAGTTGCTGTTTCATTTATGGTAACCTGAGTAGTTGAATGTTATGGAAACCCTATTTGTGACGTAATCGGAAGAATGATTCTGGGAAATTGTGAATCATGGGATGTTTTGTAAGCGTTTTTGTGGTGAGTGTTGGTTTGATTCTTTAGACGGTAGAATGGCCGAGTGCAGTAAGATTAATTTGAAGTTTCTGTACGATTTGGAGCGAAAGAGGAAAAGAGCTTTAATTGACTGGTGTGTAAATGAAGCTTTACTTAATAGCCATTATAAGTGTCCTGTATGTAGGAAGGATATGCATCTAGTCGAACGTAAAAACTGTTTAGACGGATTTGAATGGGTTTGTAGGAAGAAAGGTTCAGATGGTCACTATGTGAAGCGTTCGATCAGAAAGAGTACCTGGTTTGAAAAAAGTCATTTGAGTATGATTGATATTTTGATTTTTACGTGGCTCTGGGTGTACGAAGCGAACTCGAAAATCATGGTAAGTGAATATTTGCTTTTGGTAGTGCTTAAATGTATAACATGTTTTTTCTTTTCTTTGTTATAATATTATTATTTGGTTTAAACAGATTTTATTGAGATTATGTATTTTTTGTTTGCCTATATTGTAGACTTTGGTGCTTCTTTAACTTTTCAAGTGAAAATATATCGATGTGCACATGGAACAAGTAAAGGGAGTGCGCAATGCAAGTTTGTGCAATTCTGAGATTTTTTTTTAAGTGAAAATAGGTCGACATGTACATGGATAAAGTCAAAGGAGTGCGCAATGCCATTTTTGTGCAATTCGGGGTTTTTTAAATGAAAATAAGTCGATGTGTACATGGATACCGAGTTTGTGCAATTGTTTGTCTTGTTATTTTGGCTTTGTGTAAAAATCGCCACTTTGCAAGCCAAAATAACGAGTCAAAGCATTGCTCAAAATCGGTATCCATGTACTGCCAAAAATCGCCAAGGGATACCCTAAACTATACTTTTACCGGGCACGGAACTGAGCTAATCGTACTGTCATCTGAATGGTGCTCAAGGCAGGCATAATCTAGCACTCCTTGCCAGAAGGAATTTTGTGGGCTTTTGCAGACTTCGTCAGGCGAGTGAGCATAAACAACAACTCATAAAGGGCAGCAATATTTAGATTTTTGATCTTCTGTTGGGGCATTCTGAACCCACTTCATAGCAGGTTTCAGCTACCTTCATGGGTGGCTCATTGGAATTTCAGTTAATAATTTTTTTTTTTTTTTTTCAGATAAGCTTTTTGCATCTTTTTGTGACTTAGTCTTCCAACAGCTTAATTCCTAATGATTTTTTAAAATGTCTCCAGGTTCTAAACTCTAACCGTGGATCTTCGGAAGACATAAGTATTCTTGAGTTTATTGAAACCACATCTAGTATCAAAGATATTTACCATAAGCCAGCTTCGGTGTACATGGATTCTTGTCAAATATTTTTGGTTAGAAACTTTACGTTTTTACCATCTAAATTTTTTGTTTTTGTTTTGGATTTTTGGCGTAAATTGTGTGTTAAAAACGTATGGAAACCACATTTTTGCAGACATTTTAGGCTTAAAGTTTGAAATTTAGATAGTGTGTATAAGAGTAGTTCCATGTTTTTTATCTTACATATATATGCATATATTTACTTTTATTTTTTATTTTTACTCCAACTGATTACCTGCCTTAAGACTAAGTTTAAAAAAAGTCTGAAGTCCAGAAATATCAAAAAAATTAACACTGTTTTGTTCAGTTCAAATATATATTTTGGCCATTGAAAAAATAACTTATGCAAAAGATATGCTTTACATGCACAAAAATCAAATAAAATTAGGGGAAATAAAAGCATGAATATAAATAAGTCAAGACACAAAAGCGGTCAAACAACATATTATGCATCGAATGAATGGAGTGTGGTCTCCCAACAAAAATAAGCAAGTTTCAGAGTTCAGCCGTTTTATCTGCCTCATATATCCTATATACACAAATGAGAAGACAGCGGGCCCTTAAAAATCTAAAAGTTCGTCGCTATAAATTTAAATATATAAATGTATATCAGCAGGACATCCCAGGGACCCCTAAGCCTTCGGGCCCCTATGCAACGGCATTCCTTGCATACCCATATTTACGCCGCTGCAGATAATACACAGAAAAATAGTAACTTATCTAAGACAAAACAACAGACTGAAGAGGTTCACACGAGCATTAAAAGGAAATTAAAATGTTTAAAAGATGACATTTCAAAGCTATCACAAAATACTTACATGCGCAACTAAGAGACATCGTATGTTAGAATTTTTCTTTTATATTTAGATCACTAAATAAGCAAAACGTGCAATTTAAAGTAATTTAATACACGCCGTTGAAACTTTCGCCGACACTAGACTTATTCTTTGTTGTTGCCATACGTTTAAATGTAATACTTTGTAAATAGAAGTTCCATGACATGGGTGAAGTTGTTTCCACTCTGAAAATCAACTGTTAAATGAGAAAAACTTTTAAGTGAACGGCACAAAAATGGTTAAACATATATTATCCGAGACTGAAATGAAGTTTTATTCGAAGCTAACATTTATTACCCCTCTCCGCTTGACATGCTATTGACTCTTTCTTTCCTTCTCTCTGTGCGTATATATACATATATATATATTACATATATATATATGTAATTGCTTCAAAAGAATAAAGTAACGTTAAATTTAATTTTAAACAGTTCTCTTGCGCCATTGCTGCAAGAAATGAAATTTGAATTTAACAAACATTTTCTATTCGTAAAAAGCAAATTTAGAGGTAATAAATGTAAATGAATTTAAAGTTAATAGTTTTTTTCATGTGAATTTTAATTGCTTTAGTCTTGTATTATTATTTATACTTGGTGTTACTTGTGTAGTCTGGAACTGCAGTATCAAATGTACTTTAAAGCATTAGCGAATTTTAATTTTTCTCTTCTGTGCAAAAATATATATACCGGGTGGCCATAATTAAACTGACAGTGCTCACAGTGTTCCGTAGCACGATCTATTTGCGAGAATAATGCCACATTTTGTAAGAAGATTAAACACGACGGGGGACGAAGGATTCCGCGAAAAAAAATTAGTTCTAAAAGTCACCGCTAGGGGAATATTTGGCGCTGTGTAATAGAAAATAGAGTGTTAACAAATGCAAATTAATACGGAATAAAATTTATCGTAGGTCCATTCTTCTATGAGAACATTACCCCGACAGGACCGGAAACGTGTTCTGTTACCGGAGAGAAATATCTCCACATGTTGAACAGCTTTGTCATTCCGACACTTCAGCAAAGACAATGCCTGGGGGAAATCATTTTCATGCAAGATGGAGCCCACCCCACACGTTGCTGTACGGGTGCAACAGATGCTACGACAGAAATTCACAATAGAAAGAGTCATTAACCGCTACTTTGCAACTGCATGGCCACCTCGGTCGCCTGATCTTACCCCATGCGACTTCTGGCTATGGGGTTATATTAAGTCCAAGGTCTATCAAGGAGTGGTCCGGGACCTGGCTACGTTGAAGGATAACATATCACGGACTGTACGGGAGATTTCCTGTAGACATGTTACTTTCTGCTGTTGTGCATACTGTGCACAGAATGCAATATGTGGTCCACAAAAACGGCACTCACATTGAACCTCATTTGAATGCAAAATAAAAGGTAATTTTCGTATTGATTTGCATTTGTTAACACTCTATTTTCTATTACACAGCGCCAAATATTTCCCTAGCGGTGACTTTTGGAACTAATTTTTTTTTAGCGGAATCCTTCGTCCCCCGTCGTGTTTAATCTTCTTACAAAATGTGGCGTTATTCTCGCAAATAGATCGTGCTACAGAACACTGTGAGCACTGTCAGTTTAATTACGGCCACCCGTTATATATATATATGCAAAATGTATTTTACATTAGATATATATATATTATTAGATATTTATCAAATGGATTGCAGGCTGAGCCATTTTATTGTGATAAAACTGCTTCATTATATGATAACTACGTGATTATTAAAATAAGATTGCATTATTAGATGAAATAAGATGACTTGTCGAGAGTTGCAGCGGAGTGGTGTTGGAGAGGACTTCATCCTAACTTGTAGACTTTGCTGCGTAGTTAGAACGATGGATGCATAAACCAGAAAAAAAACTTGAAGACATGGCCTAAATTACACAAATGATTTTATTTCTTCGATAATGCACATTATCACTATGGTTGCGCTATGCCCCCCATAATTTGTTCAGCTTACATCTTAAACAATTCTTAAATTTAAGAAAGGAAACTTTGCTTAGCCAGCGGCACAACGGAAAGTAGCGGAAGAGACAAGCGAGAAGAGGGCGTTCCGACGTAATTACCCTTTTTATAACAAGGACGTTAGAATCAAGGCGGCTATTCTAACCAAAGAATCTATAGTGAATCTATAGAGATTCTTTGATTCTAACCAAAGACTCTATAGTGAATCTATAGAGATTCTTTGATTCTCTATAGATTCTATAGTTAGAATGGAAGGAGGAAGCGTTCGCAGTTTCCTCCACTATCGGGGAATGAAACCCTACCTAACATGCGGCGTCCGTGATTGTTCTGTCAATGCATTGCATTACGGCAGTGAAACGTACGTGTTTCTAAGCTGTTCCGTGCATGCATTTTTCAGTAAAAATATGTTAAATTTATATTGAAATGCCTCGCTATTGTTAAATTTTTGTTTTAAAGTAATAAAGATGATATCCATAATTTACTATGTGCAGAAAATTATTAATAGGTAGTTCGAAATCTAAATGCATGTGCATAACCTTAAAGTCTTTAAAAATGAAGTTTCTGCAAGGGTTTATTTAGGTTTTATTGGCAACCTGTTGAGTGTGCTTTCCAATTTTTCTTTTAAGAAGTGATATTTCTGATTTAGTCCCAATACTATCATAATTTATTAAAGAATCATTTCATATGCAAATGTTTAAGAGACAGGAAAAAAAGTTATTTTACTTTCTTATACTTAATACTTCAGCTACTTGTAATACACTAAAATAGAAATTCGCATATTTTTTATTGTTTATAGCAGCTGTTGAAATAGCTAATTTCAGGAGACTGGTACTTGATGCAAATAGTATTTTTTTTCTTTTTTTAAAGCATTTATTGGCATACTTTAAAAATTTAAATAATTCTTAATTGCTATTAATTTTTTTTTTTTTTTTACTTTTGTCCATTTATCAAATTTAAGAAGTATTTTTAGGGAGGGGGGGAGATTGTTTTTGTAGGAACTTGAAAAAGTGTTAATTTTGTTTCAGTTACATTAAATAAAATAACTTCATGGAATCAGGAAATCTAAAATGCTAAACAAATAGAGATAAAAATAAACAGCAACTAAACTTGCATGATACGTGTCAAACGCAACAGCTAAGTAAGAAATAGTGGATTTAGATGGTTGCATTTCCAAGTGCCCTTAAAAAATTTTAAATCTTATTTAAATTCTATTCTTACTTATTTCTCACGCTTTCCCGATCAGAAAATTTCTACCTGTAATGGAAAAATGTATGTTTGGTATTGAATAAAAAATGCAACAGCGAAAAAATCGTTCCCCTTTTTATTAAAATTGCAACAGTACACACAATACAGCAGTACAGCTGTTCCTAATAAATTACAAAGGTATCTAAAGATGTTTATAAAAAATAAATTATATTCAATTATAGTTCAAATATACCCTTGGCCATTTAAGTGAAAAAATGATGATTTAAAGACAATTAAGAAGGAAACTCTGCAAAGGGGCTAAATATCCTAATAGTTTTACATACAAACTAATAAGCCTTCAGAAAAAACATAAATCAGTAAATTTATAGCATTCTGAAGCAAATTCTTTTTCCCATTGATTTAGAAACGTTTGTAACACTTTCTTCTTCATAAAACAGTACATAGGTATAATAAGATATTCATTATAAATATATTTATCATTTCTAGAAATATGCAACCTAGCATTTTGGTAGGGTACTATCTGCGCGAAATTTGATCGAAGATCCCCTTCCCTCTCTTATCTAATCCACGAACTGCAAGACGTTTCCTGTCCCCTCTTTCTGTCCCAAGAAGATTGGGTTCTACAAAAAGTTACTTATCGCCATTAATGGGACATTTTATTGAGACTGCAAGCCTCTATTTTCGTTTATGAATATTGTAAAAATTGTGCATACAAAACAAATATTAATTTAAAATCTGGCGTGTGGTAAAGTAAAAATGCATTTCTTTTACACTCATTTTAAAGTTTTATGATGCTTAAAAGAATGATGAGCCATATCTTTTTTATTCTCTGTAAGAATTAAAAACATTCCAAGTTGTAGATTTTAATCGTTGATAGACATATATCAGTTTTGAATAATAAAATTGATAGATTAATGACATACACAAAAATGCTATATAATCAACCTATCCAATATCGGATTTGTAGCGCACTGCAAATAAGTTTCTTGTCTAGATAAATATTAAAAATCTTCTTAGATAGCAGAATGGTTTTAACTTTCAAATTTACCATTTGAGGTAAACAGTTCTAATTTAATTTAAACAATTCTCTTTATTAAATCTAAACATTGGACTTCTTAAGTCGTTCTAATTTCACACTATTATTATTGAAATATATTCCCGTGTTAGGCTTTCCATTTTAAGTCATTAAAGTTACTTTAAGATTATTCAACTTTCCTACAAATTCCATATTTTGATACTAGAAACGTTTAAATACTTATTCTGTTTTGCAGTTACTCTCCCTGATGTACTTTGGCATACATTTAATTTCTAATACACATTTAATTAATAAATTAATAATTATGAGCATCTACAGAATTTTCAAAATTAACAAAAAAATTCGAACTTCCTTACATTCATATCTTGGGATTTTCAGTTTCTTTTAATCCATTCCTTTTTCACATATTTGTTGCACTGTATTCAAGTTTTTATGTATGTAGAATTTATATATTTTGTATTGTATTTTTACCAATTTATACTTAAATGATAATTTTTACAAATTCTTGCATCATAACTCTAGTTAACAGAAGGTGTTTCTAACACCTTGGCAAAGCTTAATCTTCAGCATGCAGCTTATTTTCTAACCTAGTTTCAGGCTGAATTATTTGTAAAGTTAATTTTGAAATTATTTGTTAAAAAAGACGGTCGCAAAATCACGCTAATAATATTTCTAACTGTTGTAATTTATAATGCAACGAGTTCATTTGATTTATAATATAATTCATTTATAAATTTTTCAGCAGTATTGAAATTAATAGCAGATACTAATAATGCTATACATTTAGATTGTCTTTTACTTCTTCGCTGATGCCTTTATGCTACATTCCTAATACTTCATAATGGCATATAGATAGGTTTAACTCATTCACCAAAGATGTAAATGTCTAATTCAGCCCACTTTTGTTCTTACGTGTGCTGTATCATTAATTTTCTTTAATGTATTGCTCAGCCTAATTTCAAAAGATCTTATGATCAAGCGGAGAAGTCACTAAACATTGGTAGTTCGACCCCAGTTTCTAGTCCCAGAGATCCCCAAGCTCTTTCTTTTTTTGTACATATTTACTATGTAAAAATGTATCGTAAGAATTTCAGTTCATGAAGTAAAAATACTTTTTAAATTTATTCTTTAAAAGTATTGCAAAAGTTTTCACCTTTGCCTTAGCTTATCTTTTTTACAAATCGCTCTAATAAGAAAATATAAGGAAAGAAATTAACTCTGTTCCGGTGATTGATACCTCAGTGCAAATTATATGTAACATTTTCCAAAAGCATAGAATTTATATTGGATATCAATAAATTAAGGATTATTTCTCCATCTAATTTTCTTAACATTTTTATTCCAGAATTTTCTTTTCCCATTTCAGCGCTTAACTTTATGAGTTTTCTATAATCATTCAATTTCTCTAGCTATGGCAACTTTGCATACCTTCTGACAAGTAGTTATGTTTTCAACCACTGTATTTTAATTCCTGTTGACTATCAGTACATTATTCACTTGTTTCACAAGTGCAGATTTATACGCAAATCTACGTAAAATAGCAATAAAACTTCAGTTATGCGGAGCTTCTGATCGATCCCTTGTTTTAGATTGAATGAAATTAAGCTTAATGTTACTGTTGATTAGCTTGTCATTAATTTAATATATGTATATGTTTCTAATTATTTTTATGTTCAGATATTTCCAAATATATTACACAAACGTTTGCTTCAAAATTTTTAGTTTTTGTTTAAAAAAAATAAGCTATTATTTATTATGGGGCCTGATTGATTATATTAATTTCCAGTACTGTTTATCTAATTCTTTTCTTCTAGATAAACTTTAGAAAAAACTTCTTAGCATAACAATTTAAATTTATTTACAATTTATACGTCAGTGTTCCAAACGCATAGTAATGTTGTTATAATAGGTCTATAATAATAATATAATTTGTTATAATAGATTTCATGCTAAGCTTTTTTTTTTAAATTTAACTATTCATTTTTGCAAATATTTACATGATTACTTTAATTAACAAAAAATATTTCTAGCACACTTTAACACACTTTGATACGGAAGACATCACGAAGATGATTGCAGGAAAAAAAAGATGCCAAGTGTTGGGATAGAAACAATGGTATCCATTATCTGCTAGTAGGATTTCCTTATATTTCTTCTATGTATTAGGCAGGATTTTGTGTATTTACTCAATTTTTAAATGCATCATTAAGTGGGAAAATGGCTTTTCTTTTACTCGCGCCCGCATTACTGCACACTGATGACTGTTTGGCCCACTTGAAGTACTGAGTTTGACATACCTGGTCTGCCGTACTGAGTCTGAAAGTTTGCAAAGGCAATACTTTGTGAAATCTAAAGAGTAGTTTTGTTACAGGCAGCTTTAGGCAGTTTGGCTTGGGGGGGGGGGAATTATAATCTGATGTAGCTTTTATGCAAACTCATAATCCCTTTTTATAGTCAAGCACTTTCTTATTTGTGTGTTTTTAAAATTGAAAAATTTTTAGAACATTAATTATGTTCATTCAGTTTTTTTAAATATCATTTAAAATATCATCAATATTATCTTAAATATCATCAATATCACTTTTAATAGCATATATCACTTGCTAATAATTACCTCAAAGATTTTAAATGACAGTGTTTATTTGATAATTTTTAACTTTTAAAATGAAGATATGAAATGAAATTTAACAATGTAATTAAAATACATCGTTTTCATTTTTTAGCTCAAAAGGACGTTAATCCAGAAGGGCTATTAGTCTCCAAATGGCATTTTTAGTCGAAACATTAAAAGTGCTGAATCACTTTTAAAAATGTTCCAATATTATCGCCCTGTATTATATTTAAAGAAATGAAACAATGAAGAAAATCTGCATCAACGTACACGGGTTTTTCGCATTACGAAAAAAACAACAGCAAGTAAATCCATCAAATTCTGAATAACGTAGCTGTCAACCTTAATATGGGCACATAGAAGCCCGAATTTTGAATTTCGAATTTCTTATATTATCTGTTTCATATTTTATAAAACTTTCACAAATTTTTTATTAAAAAACTCAACCATTTCAAAGCGAGCAGTGGAATAAATAAAACATTTTTATCTCCAGCGCGGGAGACTGTCTGTCGGAAATTCTGAAGTTATGCTGTTTTTAAATATTTTTAGTCCAAATTCTCCCGAAATGTGTATGTGTGTGTAAATGGGTGGGGGAGAATCGCCCATTTGGGCATAGTATAAAATCTGAAAACTTTCAGATTTTTTTTATGATTTTATTTATTTTCTGTGTTTGCAATATTATTCCTTTAATATGATCTCACTAAGCATTCAAGATTTGTTTGCAGATATATTATGGGGGACGCAAGAAGTATTTAGTGATTACTCGGCTCAAAAATAAATAAATGAACATAATGTTCTGGTCTGAAGAGTAAACTGTTTCATGAGCCAAACTTCTTTTATCCTATATATAACTTTCTCCATTTCGACTTATATACTATCACACTAAAAACTGTATTTGTTTTAAATATTCCAGTGTTCTTTTTACAAGGTACCTTGAAAACAGAATGTTTTACTATGTCTAGTTCTAGGGACACTTTTTTTTGCGGGAAAATGAAATAAAGTGACAAACAGCAAAATATAGCATAAAATTTTTTATTTTAAATACGTGAACGGCAGATTAATGAAACTGAGATTATTTAACATATGCGGCAAGTATTCCAAGCTTGTTTTTTCTGCTTAACGAAAACGGGTTCAACAGATGTCCAAAAGTCACAGTGTAAGCAACGAGCATTTTCTGCCATTTTTTTATTGGCGACTATGTAAGAAGCATCGCATTTATTACACCTATATGTAATTGGTTTGTTTTCTTTACATTTTTTATTTCTTTTACGAATTCTTTTGCTCACTTTTTTGGAACTATAAGATAGTCCAGTCTCCTCATCTCGTATTTGGTCTACATTTCGTGCCAGAACTTTGTTATTATCTTCTTTCGCTGTTGACATGTGCCTACTATTTGAACGTTCGGAATCCGAAAAGTCTGATAAAGATCCACCGGATAGGGAGGACAAATCACCATTAGCTAAATCACTGAAAAAAGAATCGCTTAAGGAAAACTGTGCATCTTGGCTACACGTCGTATAGTCATCATTATTAATACATTCTGTAGTAGAATCTATATTAGAATTAATGGAATGTTGATTTTCTAGCGGTGTTGCATTTTCTTCAGCGTTTAAATTTGATGAAGAGTCTAAACGTCTTGTTTTATTTTTTAATTTCGAATGCTTTCCATTTGTGAGATTTAGTTGTTCAGCTATGATATTGTAAGTAGAACAGTTTTCATAAATTCCTTGACTTGAATTTCTGCATGCGAGTTTTAAACCGTTTAGTACATTATCTTGAGGTTTACATGTATTGCGTTTATCCTCTGATTTCGATTCGTCTGTTGCAGTAGGAATATTTTCTGCCTTGGCAGCTGTATATTGAAAATCTTCTAAACAGTTATCTGCACCTAAATTATTAGATATAACAGGAAGGCTTGGTTGCTGAAATGAATCCTGTTTATTTGACACTTTGGAGTTTTCATTGTTTTTCAGAATCTGTACTTCAACTTTAGGTCTAGCAGTGAATAAATCTGTATTAATGGTTTCTTGACGTTGTCTTTTATCTGAGACCTGAAATTAAATTGAAATTCTTAGATTTCAGGGCGAAAATACATATTATCTTATATCTAAATCATTATATCTAAAGCATCTTGAGTTTAAGTAATTCTCATTTTGCTAATTAATTTAGAGATATAGTAACAAGAAGTTTCAACCCATAAAAGTACTATAATTAAGTGTTGTTGCTGATCCAGTTATAATCTGGCTTCCCATATAAGAAAATTCTAATTGTTCTAGAGAGGAATAAAGGAACTTGCATATAAGATCTTGATTTGATGAAGGAGTTCTACAAAAAATAAAATTAGTGATTTAAGGTCCATATTATCGACTCCATGTTTCGAATTAACACTAATTGAATATATTTCGTTTAAAATAGAAATTAAAGGAAAGTAAAAAATACTCTTAAAGTATTTTTAATGTATGAGGTAGCACGTATAAGAAAGGTTAAGGAGAATAATTTAAAGAAAAAAAAGCATCATGACAGCAGAGAACTTTATTAATAAAAATTTTCTGTTATTTGAATATATTATAAATTATATAATTAAAATTATATTATTTAAGCAGATTTGGCATTAATCATTGGTGACCTAGAAGTTGAGTGTCACTTAGGAGTCAACTCATAAGTCATCAGTGTGGGCTTTAAAATTAAAATTACGTTGGAGGACACCGGTATCCTTGTTGTTCACTGATGGCCATCAATGCTATGGTCATCATGACCTACAGTTTGAGAATCACAAGGAATCAACGCATAGGTCACCGAGTGGAGCAGTTTAGTAAGTTTAGACAAATAGATATATAGATTAAAATTAAATAGGCGCACAACGATGCGTCTTAAGAATATTGGTCAGGAGTAATCTAATGACTGTAGGTTACTTGAAGTCAATTCAACGGGTCACTGTAAAATTCAGTAAATTTAGAATAGTTATTGGAATTAAAATCTAAGCATAACAGCGCCTAGCGATGTGGCTGGTCTCCGGTGACTCACAATGTAAAGGTTCCTTAAAGTCAACCAATGGGTAACAGTATGGAATAGGCAGTGAATTTAGATATATTTTAAATTAAAATTAAATCGTAGCAAAATTATGCCTTTTAAATTATTGGCCACTGATGACCTATAGGTTGACAGTCACTTTTACTGAAACCATATATCATTACACTGAATAACAAAATAAAACGAAGAGCTAATCACCTCTTCAAAAAAGGAAACAAAGGTGTCAGCGATATGACAATGTGTGTGTTATAGTGTATGGGTGTGTGTATATGTATAAGTAAATAAAAATAAATGTCTATATTGGTTCCATTATTTGTTATAAAACTATTTTAATTTTAAACAAATATGCATTACTTTCTAATAAAATAATTACTTTCTCCTTCCTATATCATATTTAAAAGCCCACATCATAATCTCTATCAGGGCTCACAGATTCCCTTTATGGTACTGAGCGGACGGTTTGAAACTGTCTAAAATTAGTACTAATAATATAATTTTAAAAATAAAAATACCGACTGTCAAAAACGTGTGTCGTAGTACGATTTCTGTTTGATCTCAGAATTTGATTACAAAAATAAAACTATTGTTTGTTACAATGCGAGCCTCAATTAAGAGGACAAACAGTCGTATATGTCTCGAGAACCGCAATTTGAACAGGCCTGATATATATGGTAGGAGTCTATATGGACTCTGTAGGGAAATATTTTAATGAGATAAAAACTTGTAAGGCATTTCAGAACGTGCTTTCTTGGCATAATTAGAAACACGTTAGGCTAGCATTCAGGAATAGAATCTCCGCCAGGGCATTGCAGATTTTATATTTTCCTGGCTCCTAAAAATTATTATAGCTTTCACAAATAGCGTTCGAACTAAAATGTGGTGAACGATAACTCATCACAACCAAGATCTGGCAACTGGGTTCCAATCACCCTCAAAGTGGGGGATAGTGTGAGATATTCTCTCTCTCTTTGTAGTGCTCTTGTGGAACAGTGTTTAAGACACTCGAATACTTGAGTGAACACTACCCCGAAATGAAAAATACAAAGTTTCTAAATAGTCTCAACTAACTTTCTAATAATATAAAAAGTTTGGATAAATGGATGAATGGGAAGAAGCATCAGAAAGCCATCGAGCTGTTACAATGAGCAAAGGTGAGCAAGTGCGAAAATTCATACCAGCAGTGGAAAGGTAGAATAAAAATTACATATAAAAATACACAAGCATACAGCAGAAGTAGAAAAAGAAAGCAAAGTAATAATACATTAATCTTTAATATTAATTCTAGGTTTGAGAGTAGCCATAGGCCATCTTATGTTTTGCACATCATTATAATCGTAATTGTAAATTTGCAGTGGAATGTTGTTATTGTTTCTCATACGACATCTTGCTAAAAGCAAGATGGTAATAAAAGATTCTGAGATTGGCAATGTGAAGTTCTTTATGAATAGTGTTATTACTAATGTACCACGGTGCGTCCGTAATCTGCTTCAGAACACTATTTTGGGCAGTTTCCAACTTTTTCCTGTAAGACTTACATAAGTATGCCCAGACCGAACAAGTATAACAGCGAATGGGCCGCAAGATGGACTTATAAATGAGTAGTTTATTATCAGTAGAATGAAAACTGTTTCAGGCAATTATGGAGTAGATTCTAGCTTTACGCACCCGAAACTTCTGGATAATAGAATGTATGTGTAGGTTTCATGCGAGAGATTTTGTGCCGATTACCCCAAGATAAGGGACTTGCTTTGCCAGGGGAGATCCATAGAACTGTAGATGCTGATTAATGATCTTCTTCCTGGTAAATAATACTGCAAGAGTTTTGCAACATTTACCTTAATTTTCCATTTTTGTAAGAAGAGGCCACTAATGCATGGATGTGATTTTGGAGGTGTTGTATAGCTGGACTAAGAAATGCATTTTGAGAAAGGTTTGTTGTATCATCAGTGTGCATTGCAAATGTAGTGTTGGATGTACGAGGAATGTCGTTCACGTAAATGTTGAAGAATGATGTAAATGATGAAGAGAATTTGGCTCAGTGAGGATTCCTGAGGTATACCAGCTGAAATAGCACTGTGAACAAAGTATCTGTTAGAGACGTGAAGTCTCTACCTGCCAGGGAGGATTTAATTGTGTATAATGTAATCTGGGTAGACCAGATTGTGAATCTTGTACATGAGTGCGTCCATCCAAATTCGGTCGGAAACTTTGGCTATATCTAAGAACAGTCCACCGGTGAAGTTTTTACGATGCATTCCTTCCGAGATGTGTTCAACCACCCGGTATAGTTGGAAGGAGCTCGACAAGTTTTTTTCTAAAACCAAACTAATGTGGAATCAGTATATTATTCCTGTCCTGGTGGTTTTGCATTCTTTTAAGGCTCGCAGCTTCCATAATTTTACTTAGACCCGAGCGCAGACTAATCGGCCGGTAAGACCTCGGCTGGCTAGCTGGCTTCTGGCTTCTTAGGCTTGAGTAGAGGAGTAAGGCGGGTCGTTTTCCACGTAGAAGGAAAAATAATGGCAGCGTAGAGTAATGTTGAAAATATTCGTGAGCTTGAATTTTGAGTGACACCATCTTGTTGGTTACCAAATCAATCCCAAGGCTTTTCTTGGTTTTCAAAGTCATTATGTAACCAGTGAAATTTAACTGGAATACATTTCACTTGTTAACTAAGTGTTCTGATGAGACTAAGTGTCCTGTTGTTGTGTCATGAATGTTGTTAGTGTAAAATTGAGATTCCAGATGCTCTGCTAAAATTTCTGCCTTCTCAGCTTCAGTGTAATGGATCCCGTTGTGGCTATTAACCGCTTCCCTTACAAATTTTTTTGAAAAAAATTGCAAAAAATCATCACATTTTTTTTATTTTATTATTAAATACAACAAAACGAAACAAATCAAAATATGAGGTTTTAAGTTGAATTTTTAATTTTTTGAAGGTGTAAAAGCATTTATTTTTAATATTAGTTTACTATCCCGAGTTATCTCGGGCAAACGAAAAATAGTTAAATATTAATCTTTGTATGATTGGTTTTTGAAACAAGGGACAACACAAAAGTGATACCTGACATTCTGTACACTGGTATCTGGTCTCTTTTCCTTACTGGCTTAACGCTGGAATCTCTTCTCACGGGATGCACAGAGTACACTGTCTCGTTGGATTTGATTTTTTCCTCACCTCTTCATAATCACTATCTGAAAAATCATCGCTTTGGCTGTCTTGCATCATCGCCACTATGTTTTTTTTATTTTATTTTTTTTCCCAAACGGCAATGTATTCCTTTCTTTATACATTACTAATCCACAAGACCACGTATACTATACAATAGGGAAACACGCGACCAGTCCCTCCAAAAGAACCGCGCAACCAACAAAACTTGGCAAACTGCCAATTCAAAGCTGAATATTTCCTTTCGTTTTCCTTCCAGGACCGAGTAAAAACCGTGATAAAAGAAATCGTACTAACAAATTCTGCTTCGCCCGAGTTTTCTCGGGATAATAATTAACTGCAATATATACGAACCCGAGACAACTCGGGATAATCAGGCAAGCGGTTAAGTGGCAGAATGTTATTGTAGCGTTTCCCATATCTAGAAACTGTTTTCCAGATAAAGCTATTATATGTAGAGAGTGATTTCAGAAATTTGGACTAGTCTTGTTATTGTGAGTTAGCAAGAGAACTGACCTCTTCATTCAGTGTATTAAGTTGCTGCTGGTCATACGGATGTTTAGTTCCTTGGAATTGTCTTTTGCAGCAGTCCGTTTTTTAATGAGATTTTTAGGTCCAAGGTTTTTCGAGGTTTTGAATGGTATACGGCTCTGCTGGAACATTTCTGAGCATTGACAAGAGATTCAGTAAAATTTCTTACCAAATTATCAAGTCGTTCTCAGAATGTATAGTTGGAAGAGTATAATGAGTGTTGTTCAGAGCTTTGGCAAACTTAGGCCAATCAGTAATGACGGCTGTTTGGTGTAATACAGCAACTGATGTCCAGTATAATTCTGACCGGATTGTGGTCAGAAGACAGCTCATCCAGCACAAACATATCCAGCGGATCACTGGTATTTCTGAGCAGGAAGAAGTCGACAATGCTTGTGGACCCATTATTGTACAGTGTTGGGTTTCTTGGAGCTGCTGTGCGTAACATAGCCGAATAGGCTAAATTGTAAATTACGCCTCCATTACCATTAGAGTTATAGCAGTTCGGTGTCGTGCATTTAGGTCTCCACCTGAAGTGAATCTGTTATCAAGTGTAAGTAGAGCTTCCAAATCATCGATGACTAGTGCAGAGAGCCGATTTGGAGGGACATAATTGGAGATAAACGTGTGTGTTATATTTGTGTTTGTTGTAAGCTGATGCTTCAACAGCGTAAAGCTATGGAATTACCTTCGTAGTGCAATTGTAAATATGTCCAGCTGGCAGTAGGTAGGTCTGGAGTTCGAATCCCTGTTAGGCATCGTTGATTCTCTCAAGATATTTGTTTAAAAAAATTCTAATGCATGTGACATTTTATTTATTCATTTATTTATGTTACTTACTGTTATAAGAGACTGCCTATTTTGGATAGATCGGATGATGGATTCTCGTAATAAAGTCAAAGAAGAGGGCTCTAATTTATCTTCCTCACTGCCAGAAAAGCTGCTGCTTAATTCTTCATTTCGTAGATCTAAAGGATTCAAAGAGTAAATTATTAACATTATTTTCCTTAAAAATTAATGAAGTGCAGAAACTGTACATCAAATAGCCAAATGAGAAAATGGAGAGAGCGGAAAGAAATAAACAATAAATAAAAACCAGTTATAATACATAAAAAGGCTTTTCATTGTAAATGATGCACCTAAACAATCTTTACTGAAGTAATGATTTATTTATTTTCATTTCGAATTGAGGTTTTTCTGTTACTATAGAATTCTCGCGTTAAAGAAAGAGAGAATGATGCTGTCTAAATTATTAATTACTAACTAATTGATTATGAAGGAAGCAGTTAGTCATGGTACAGTGTAGCGAATTTTATTGTGACGTAGGCCAGTAGTCTCAAACTGGTGGTCAGAGGGCCACATATGATCCTCGAAGCAATTTTATGCGGTTCGTGAATATATTTAAATTATATATTTGTTACGTTGATGCAAAGATTTCAAAATTTCAATTATTTGAAGTCCAAATTGGCATTATTTTCATTGTCATTAAAAAAGAAAATAAACAACACATTAGAAAATCTATAAATTGAACTAATTAATTTACATTGTGATTTAAATCTTTTTCAAAGATGTGAAATTACAAATTTGATTAACTGTTGTTCGAAGTTGTTAAAAGTTAATTTCTTTCAGTTACGAATTTTTCCCCTCAGAAAATCGTTCTTTTGGGAATGTATCAACAATGTTTTTACAGAGTTGAAATTTATAAGGAAAGAACCCAGTTGACAGATGAAAACCTACAATCATCGATCAAGATAATTTCTAGTAATTTTTGGCCTGTGCACGGACATTATACAAATAAATCTTATATTTACTTACAAAATTTATAATTGTTTAAATAATTTGTAATTATTTACTTATGTATTACATAAATATATGTATTTTAATTCACTTGTGAAAGGAAAGCTTAATAAACAAGAGAAAGAGACTGGGTCGTTATTATTCATCAATCTTTGTCCCACTTGGGAAGTTTTATCTGAAACTTGAATTTTTAATAATTTGTTTACTTTTAGTTTAAATTAAATCAAATTATTTAATCATTAATTAAATATATTAGAATTATTTGGAATAAATATCAGTCGGAAATATTAGCTGTCGATATGTTTAAGTTACAAAATGTAATCAACAAAAGTATTTTACAGGTATCAAACTTTAGATTTCAAATAGAAAATAGATATAAATATAATTTTTTTTTATTTTGCCCTATTATCATTATTTATATATTTAATAAGCACAAATAAAAATTTTAATTTAATTTCTTTAACTGATAAAAATTTCATTTTGCTAAAAAAATCGTGGCGCCACAATTTTTTTAGATCCTGAATACGGCTCGCATGCAGTTTGAGTTTGAGACTACTGACGGTGGTGACCACTTTCTGGGGTGGCACCAGAAATCGCACCATTTCAGACCTTTCCATCCTTCTGCAGGAATTCCGAATGAAAATATCAAAATTTGTGCCATTTCAGCCTTACTTTCTGCTCTCCCCCCTTCCATTATAATTCAAGTGTTCCCCCCTTTAGTATCATGGATGTAGGAAGTCCTTTCTTACCTCCATGTTTAGTATACGCATCTTGGGAGAGGAAATGTTCATGACACTTTCTTATTAGGGGTACACTAAAAATGATCAGCAACAACCAATGGAGATAGAAATTTCCCACAGCAATGACGAGGAAGGGGGGGGGAATAAAGGACTATCAAAACTGCTGCTAGAGATGCTAAGTATTTAGAAACTTCAAATTTGCCACTAAAGAAAACGGAAAATAATTTTCCCTTTTCTTCTTAAAATAATCTGACTGATTGATCTTTGAAGACCATTTTTTAAAAAAGGGCATACTATTTCTTTTCGTTTTTCAACGAGAAAAGAACTTTAAGGCATTACAACCAAGGCGTTAAAATGCGTTTTACCATTCAGTGACATTGAACTTGTGTAAAGAATTTACTTAGCTAATATATATTCTTAAAACAACTACCGTATCTAGGATGATGTATCTGATTTAAGATTTTACCTCTTCAAATTTGATCTTCAAAACAGTGTGCTCAGCAAACAGGCTTAAGAATCACCAGAATGAAGCTAGAACAACAATTCAAGACTACCATACTAAAGTTCGTTTTAGCGAATTTTTCATGAATTTTTAGAAACACAATATGATATAGTGTTATTCACTTTGTGTTCAATGTAACAGCTTAATATACAGGGTGATACAGGGAAATGCATTCATTTAATTCTTACTCGCAGTGAATACAGCACAAAAGTATATTGTTGTTGTTGTGAAATGTGTTTGTACTAATATTGTTTATTTGGGTGTACTCCAACTGCGCGAATGAAAAATCCCCCACCGTCATCCTGCTATAGTCCAACTGCGTGAATCAAAATTTCTTCCCTCCCATTGCCTACAGAGTTACAATTTAACTTTTCGAAGCCAACAGTAGCCAAGAGGAAAATAAAAATAAAGAAATAGAATTATATATCACAATCATAAGAACAAGTAAAGAATATCTAACAACCAGTCTAATTATTTTAATAACAGTAATAAATGCGAGAGCTAACAAAGAAAATAAAAGGTATTGGGAAACATACATATTAGCATTACAAACATCTTTCATTAATTTCAATATTAAAGTAAAGAGTTTTATAAAAATATCATAAATTAAATAATTATAAAGCATACCAATTATATTTTTTATAAATTACATCAATAATAGTCAAGATGTCTGAACTAGACTGGAAAATTTAATATAGTTCACTGGTGTGCAAAAGATTATTTCATATCAAAGTGTGTTACAGTGTGCTAGAAATATTTTTCGTTAATTAAAGTAACCATGTAAATGTTTGCAGAAATTAATAGTTAAATTTAGAAAAAGCTTAGCATGAAATCTATTATAAAAACATTACTATGCGTTTGGAACACTAACGTATAAATTATAAATAAATTTAAATTATTATGCTAATTTTTTTCCCTTAAAGTTATCTAGAAGAAAAGAAATAGACAAACAGTACTGCAAAGTAATATAATCAATCAGGCCTCTCAATAAAAAAAAGCTTATTTTTTTAACCAAAAATTAAAAATTTTGATGCAAAAGTTCGTGTAATATACTTGGTAATATCTGAAGATATAATTAATTAGAAACGTATAATTAAATTAATTACAAGCTAATTAGCAATAACATTAAGCTTAATTTCATTCAATCTAAAACAAGGAACTGATCAGAAGCTCCGCATAACTGAAGTTTTATTGCTATTTTACGTAGATTTGCGTATAAAATAAATATTTGCACTTGTGAAACAAGTGAATAATATATTGATAGTCAACAGGAATGATTAAAATATGACTACTTGTCAGAAGGCAGTGCTTAAATTCCGCCGGAGTTCACCGGAGATCTGCTCCGGTGCTTCTCAATTTTAAAGATAAATTACAATTTTAGCCGGCGCGCACCGGAGCCTTAAATAAGATGAGCTTCGGTACTTCTCTTTGTAAAACTGAACAACAATTTAAAGGGAAAAAACTTAGAATTCCTAACGTTTTAGTTTAACAAAAAGCAGACCTTGCAATACTCTGTTTCCCTAGAAATACGAACTCATGAGAACATGACACGTTCAAGTAAAGTCCCCTCACTCACGGTATCCGGACATAATCCTGACAGCCGAAATCCCGACAAGCCAGAATCCCGACAGACGGAATTCCGACAAGCCAAAATCCCGACAGGGTCGAAATCCCGACAAACCAAAATCCCGAGAGGGTCGAAATCCCGACAAGCCAAAATCCCGACAGGGTCGAAATCTCGACAAACCAAAATCCCGACAGGGTCGAAATCCCGACAAGCCAAAATCCCAACAGGGTCGAAATCCCGATTGCCAATATCCCGACAGGGTTAAAATACCGATAAGGCCTAATGACCCCTTAACATACTTCCACAGCTGCAACTAGTATATGCTTTGAAGACTAGCAAATCTGAAGAAAATTACAAAAGATTATTCCAAGATTTAATTGATTTCGCTGAAGAAATTAATATTGAACTGAGGCCATCTAGAATCATTAGTGATCTAGAAAAGGCAGCTATAAATGCTCCGCGCACGGAAGGTAGATGATGACAGAGAAAGGAGAATTATAACTGTTGTGGACGATCGTGATAATCGACCTGTGATGGAATATCTTCGTGCTATCGCTTACAATGTGTCACTGTAAATATGTCGTTTGCATGTGTAAGTGATGTTTTCTTTTTCTTAATAAAAAGAATTTTATAAATCTTCATTTCAAATTTTAACGGTCATTTCAATTTGTTAAAAATTATTTTAAGTAATGACATAATTTTTATGATTTTTTGATTTAAACTTTTAATTAGTAATATGTAATAGTTAGTTAAAATTTGTATTTTATTAAGCTAAATTGAGTGTTTGTATTTAGATATTAACTTGTCGGGATTTTGGACAGTAGGGATTCTGACCCTGTTGGGATTCTGGCTTGTCGGGATTTTGACCCTGTCGGGATTTCGACCGTGTTGGGACTGGGTTGTCGGGATTTCGGCCCTGTCGGGGTTTTGGACAGTCGGGATTCCGACTGTCGGGATTCTGGCTTGTCGGGATTTCGGCTGTCGGGATTATGACCCAGACCCCTCACTCACATGCGAAAACCTTTCCCTTTAAAAAAAGCAATAAATTTGGGGGAGTTTGTTTAGGAACGCGTAAATTTCTCGCCATGCCATCGTATCTAGTGTATTGTTATCGATACTTACAGTTAGTTATCCTCGCAGGAAGGAAAGTTTGTGTTCTTAAATGCGTGTTAAGTGACAGCGAGTACAATAAGAGTGAAATATTGAGATAAACTGCTGAAGCACGTCCTATACATCGTCTTCCCACAGTATCCACTAATGGGAGGAAAAGCGAAACCAGCAACTTTACATTCATCCTTAGGAGTCATATTGAGGACTCATTTTACCCCTTACACACATCCGCTTGACGGCTATAATTATACC